TGCATTTTGAGCCTTGCAAACATCAGCACAGCCGTTGTCGATGCCATGAGACCAAGCATTCTTTGAACTTGGAATGCTGTGGCTGAGAGTTGGGTACGCACCAGAGTGGCCAGGGTAATGATATCTGTGGCTCTGTCTGGAGGTAGGTACGCCATGCACGAGGTTGAGTCTAGTATGGCGCCGATGTATTGAATGCGCTGTGTGGGACAGAGGTGAGACTTTTGATGATTGACCATGAGGCCCAGGTCGTTCAGGAGGGACAGAGTTTCTCCGACGTTGGAGATCAGAGCATGTCGAGACGAAGCCACCAGAAGCCAGTCGTCTATGTACGGGTAGATGGACACACCTCTGAGCCGTAGGAAGGCTGCAACGACAACCATTGTTTTTGTAAACACCCTCGGGGCACTGGAGAGGCCAAATGGAAGGGCCGTATATTGGTAATGTTGTTGCCCAATCGCAAATCTGAGGTATTGGTGGTGGAAGGGGTGGATGGTGATATGGAAGTATGCATCCTGGAGCTCGAGGGTGGCCATCCAGACATGTTTCCGCAGCAGTGGGAGGATCTGTTGCAGAGACACCATACGGAAGCGTTCGTAAGTAACAAACTTGTTCAGCTCCCTGAGATCTAGAATGGGTCGAACATCCCCGTCTCTTTTCGGGACTGTGAAGTATCGGGAATAAAATCCCGTCCCCTGGAGGCGCGGTGGAACAAGTTTGATGGCTCCCTTTTGCAGAAGGAGGGACACCTCCTCGAGGAGAGGTGGGGAAGGTGGTGTAAAGACGACCATGGGTGTGACGTGGTTCTGATCGAAATGGATTTTGTAGCCTCGGGTCAAGATGGAAAGGACCCATTCGTCTGATGTGATGAGATGCCAGGATTGGATGTAAGGAAGTAGACGGGTACATGCTGACTCGGAAACAGGGAAGTCAAAAACCCTGTTTGGGTGGTTTGGCCTGTTTGGTACGGGAGGACTGTTGAGTTGAACCAAATTTTGGTTTTTGATAGGAAGATTTCTGGCTGCCTGAATATGACCTAGGTCTCCATCTCTTATCTGGAGACTGACGTGATGTTGTGCTCCTCTGCCAGGGTTGAGACCATGTTCGTGGACGGGTTTGTTGCTGTGACGAGGAGGATACTCCGAGAGATCGAGAGGCTTTAATGCTTTTATCTAGATCCTGCAAGGTAGAATCTGTGGCTGCATTGAAGAGGCCTAGACCGTCAAAGGGCATATCCTCAACCAAGGACCTAGTATCGAACGGGAGAGAGGTGCCTCTCAACCAGGAGTGTCTCCGAAGCGCCACAGCTGAAGCCATGGTCCTCGAGGACGCCTCTAGGACATGCTTAGTCGTGGTGAGTTCTCTGCCTGGGAAGTATCGGGTACCAGGTAAATTGGTGGAAACCATTATTAAGGAAAGAATTAGTAGGCACGTAGATGAACAAAACCTATTGAGGCAGACTCAGCATGGGTTCTGTAAGGGAAGATCTTGTCTCACTGACCTGTTAATGTTCTTTGAGGGGGTGAACAAACATGTGGACAAGGGGGATCCAATAGATATTGTTTACCTTGACTTCCAGAAAGCTTTTGATAAAGTTCCTCATCAAAGGCTCCTAAGTAAGCTCAAAAATCATGGGATAAATGGAAAAGTCCTTTTATCGATCAAAAACTGGCTAATTAATAGAAAACAGAGAGTGAGTATAAATGGGCAGTTCTCTCAGTGGAGGGGGGTAAGCAGTGGGGTACCGCAGGGATCAGTACTTGGTCCACTGCTTTTTAACTTGTTCATTAATGATTTGGAGTTGGGAGTAAGCAGTGAAGTGGATAAATTTGCGGATGATACAAAGTTGTTCAGGGTGGTGAAAACCCGTGAGGATTGTGAGGCACTCCAAAGGGATCTGTCAAAGATGGGCAAGTGGGCGTCAACATGGCAAATGGGGTTCAATGTGGCCAAGTGCAAGGTGATGCACATTGGAGCCAAAAATCCTAAATATAAATACACGTTGATGAGGTCTGAACTGGCAGAGACTGATCAAGAGAGAGATCTTGGAGTTGTAGTAGATAACTCACTGAAAATGTCGAGACAGTGTGTGACTGCAATAAAGAAGGCCAATGCTATGCTGGGGATTATTAGGAAGGGTATTGTAAACAGATCAGCCAATATCATAATGCCCCTATATAAATCAATGGTGAGACCTCATTTGGAATACTGTGTGCAGTTCTGGGCACCACACCTTAAAAAGGATATTATAGCTTTGGAAAAAGTGCAGAAAAGGGCAACTCGAATGATAAAAGGGTTGGAACACTTTCCCTATGAGGAAAGGTTAAAGCGCTTAGGGCTCTTTAGCTTGGAGAAACGACGACTGAGGGGTGACATGATTGAGGTTTATAAGATTATGCATGGGAAAGAGCAGGTAGAGAAAGAGGTACTTTTCTCCCTTTCTCACAATACAAGAACCCGTGGGCACTCCATGAAATTGCTGAGCGGTCGGGTTAGAACGGATAAAAGGAAGTACTTCTTCACCCAAAGAGTGATTAACACTTGGAATTCACTGCCACAGGAAGTGGTGGCAGCTACAAGCATGGACGGCTTCAAAAGGGAATTAGATAAGCATATGGAGCAGAGGTCCATCAGTGGCTATTAGCCACAAGGTATAGATAGGGACTCTGGGGCAAGTGATGCTCTGTCATCTTGGTGCTTGGGGGGGGGGTCAACAGTGGGAGGGCTTCTAATGTCCTGGCCCCACTGGTGGACCTCCTGATGGCACTGGTATTTCTGGCCACTGTGGGATACAGAGTGTTGGACTGGATGGGCCTTTGGCCTGATCCAACATTGGCATCTCTTATGTTCTTATGTTCTTAAAGGCTGTAGACATAGTTAAGGATCTTGTAGAGTGTGCTCGCACAGGCAAAGGTAACGGACGTTTAGCCAACAGGTAGCACAGCTTAATAGTCCCAACAATCCACTTGGAGAGATGTTGTGCCGAGATCTTCTGTCCTGTGGAGTGACTGGAGTAGAAAACAAATAGGTAATTGTCCCTCCTACTCGAATGTGTCCTGTCCTGGTAAAAAAGTAGCATCCTCTTAACATCTAGTGCATGGAGGAGATGCTGTTGTCCATCTTTTGGGTCAGGAAAGAAATTTTGTAGGAAAATCTCCGAGCTGAGGTGGAATTTGGAGATCACTTTCGGAAGGAAAGAGACGTCAGGTACTAATCTCACACCTTCTGGTAGGAAGACAAGGAAAGGTGGGTCATGACGAAGGGCAATGAGTTCACTCACCCTTCTAGCCGAGGTAATGGCAACTAGAAAGACAGTTTTCCATGCGGCAAGTTTTAGCTTGCAGGTTGCCATTGGCTCAAAGGGTCGTCCCATCAGCTGCCGCAGCACTAGCGGCAAGTACCACAAGGGTACCGGCGCACGGATTGATGGATATAAGTGTAGGAGACCCTTCAGGAATGTCTTTGAGACCGGGTGAGAGAAGACAGAGAAGCCCTCGAAGCCCGGATGGTAGGCGGAAATAGCAGACAAATACACCCTTATTGAAGAATGCGAGAGGCCTTTCTCTGCTAGAGAAAGTAAAAATTCCAGAATCTGATCCAGGGTGATAGAAGACGGAAACATGCCTGAGGGCTGTAAAAAGGCCAGGAAACAAGACCATTTTCCTTTGTATGAGTGTCTGGTAGAGTCCTTCCTGGCATTGAGTAATATGTTTTTAACACTATTTGAAAAATTTACATGTCCACAAGAAACGCCGTTAGTTTGAGCTTGTGGACCTCGTGGAACAGAAGCGCTCCTCCCTCTGCCAAAAGCAGATCTGGCACTTGTGGAAGAGGGTATCGGGATTTGGTTAGGGAGAGGAGACTGGCAAGCCAAGGTTGCCTCAGCCACCAGGGAGCAATCAAAATGCACCTTGTGTGGACCCTCATAAGTTTTTGGACCATCCGCAGCAGCAGTGGCAGAGGGGGAAATATATATAGGAAGTCCCTGTCCCACGGGTAGAGGAGCCCATCTCCCAAGGCCTTGGGATCTTGTGCTCCCCTGCAGCAAAATAGATTGCATTTTGTATTGTGTTGGGTGGCAAACATGTCTATGTGAGTTATACCCCACTTCTGGAACACGGGGCATAGGTAGGCCCAGTTCAGCTCCCAGTCATGACACTGAGAGAGACCCCTGCTGAGCAGGTCTGCATGTATATTGGCAATGCCCACGATGTGAGAAGCGATGGGAAATATGCGCAGAGGAATGCACCAGGCCCAAAGGTCCAGAGCTAGGCGACAGGGACTGCGGGAGACTGTTCCTCCTTTTCTGTTGATGTAACTGAGTGCCATTGTATTGTCCGTCAATAAAGCCACGCATTTCCCTGTCAGCAGAGGCTGGAAATAATGAAGAGCCAGCTTGATGGCCAGAAGCTCCAAAAAGTTGATATGATTCTTGGAGAGTCACAGCATCCCACTTGTGCACAATGGAGAGGTCGTTGAGGTGGGCACCCCAGCCCCACAGCGAAGCGTTGGTCGTAAGAGTGAGACCAGGAGTAAGGGGATGAAAAGAGACACCTCATGTCAGATTGTCTGTTAGTGTCCACCAAAGAAGGGAGTTGAGTGCCTCTTATGATGGGGAGAGATGGACTGACTGGGTCATTTGTAATGGTTTGAAGTGTCGTATGAACCAGAGCTGGACGCATGTGTAGCCTTGTGAAATGAAGGACTGTAGTTGTAGCTGCCATCATGCCCAGTAGGCGTTGAATTTGGAACACAGACGATCTGTCTTGGAGCCGAATCTGTTCAGCAAAAGTAGCCAGAGTGAGGGCTCGGTCTTGGGGCAGGAAGGCTTTTCCTTGTATAGAGTTGAGTATTGCTCCTATAAATTGCACTCTTTGAGATGGAACTAGGTGCAATTTTTTGTAATTGACCTGGAGACCAAGGCTTCAAAGGACCTCCAAGGCCTGCAACACTTGTTCTGTAAGAAGGTCTCTGGAAGCTGCGACTAGAAGCCAGTGGTCTAGTTACGGGAACACCGTCAGGCCACAGAGGCGGAGATGTGCCACAACGACCACCATCGGTTTGGTGAAGACCCGCGGTGCTGTGCTGAGGCCAAACGGTAGACTCCTGTATTGGTAGTGGCTGCCCCCTATCACAAATCGAAGATACTTTCGATGGGAGGGGTGGATGGTTACATGGAAGTAGGCATCTTCGAGGTCAAGAGTGGCCATCCAACAGCCTTGGGACAGGAGAGGTAGAATGACCTGCAGGGATGTCATCTTGAATTTCTGGCATTGTATATAGGCGTTGAGGCCACGGAGGTCTAAGATCAGCCTCTGTCCGCTGTCCCTTTTGGGTACCATGAAGTATCTGGAATAAAACCCGAGGCCCTGGTGATTTAGAGGCACGGGTTCTATAGCACCCTTCGATAAAAGTGTGGTTACTTCTTTGAGTAGGAATGACGACAGGGGTGTGGTGACTACCCCAGAAAGGGGTGGAGGCTCTATAAACTTGATGGAATAGCCAGTGGTCAAGATGGAACGGACCCATTGGTCCGAAGTAATGGCAGTCCAGGCATGTAAATAAGGGTAGAGACGGGTAGGGTCCGTAAGGGTAGGCAGGACCAAGTCAAAGGCCCTGTTTGTTTGATTTAGGTTGTTTTGGTCTGGTCTGTTGTTGTCCAATACTGTACCTTTGTCTGGACTGATAGTGTTGTCTGCTTCCAGATGGAGACTGCCATGGTTTATAGCCTTCGTCTTGTGGTGGTTTATTAAATGGACATTGAAAACTGTTTCAGGACCAAGAACGAGGTAAAAAAGGCTTAGGGGGACCAGAGACTCCTAATGACCTAGATGCCTTAATGCTTTTATCCATTTCCTGCAGGGTCAAATCCGTGGAAGCATGGAAGAGCCCTTGGCCATCAAAAGGTAGGTTCTCTATGTAAGCTCTCGTATCAGCAGGGAGCGAGGTGGTTCTGAGCCAGGAATGTCTCCAAAGGGCTACTGCAGAAGACATTGTTTTTGAAAATGTATCTAAGGCATGTTTGGAGGAGTTTATGATTTGTTTGTACCATCCTTTTGCAGTTTCCTGGCCTCTTGATGCTTGTCCTCGGGTACCGATGACAAAAGATTGGTAACACGCGCCCAGAGCGAGAATTCATAACAGCCCATGCATGCGATGTAGTTTGAAGTTTTAATTCCGAGAGCTCAAACGGCGTCCCATTGAATCTAGTTTTTTACTCTCCTTTTCCGAAGGTGTAGCCAAGCTACGTTTGCTCTTTGAGGAGGATGACATGACCATAGAGTTGGGTTTAGGATGGAGCTGGAGAAATTCAGCCTCCATCTCCTGAATCCGGTACATATGATCCAAGCACTGAGAGGACACTGGAGCAGAACACGGTTTGTCCCATGGAGCCTTAGCTGCCTGGAGTAACACGGACGACATCGGGAGAGCAATCGGTGTGGAGGTGTCTAGTTGTACGACATCGAAGATGGCGTCCGACACCGACGGCTGGGGTTGGACAATCAAAAGTCCTAGCAGATTCACCATGCGTTTGATTAACTCTCCATAAGAAGAAATATCTTCAGACAGGGATATAGGGAGGTTGTCCGATACTGCTGGGTTTGGAATTGAAGGGTCTTCGGGCGATCCAGGCTGCTCCGAACCGTCGGTGTCTGAATCGGAGTCCAAAGATCCGGAAGGTGACATCGGTGTCGACACAGATGGAACCTCTGTCACTCGGGTAGGAGTGGGGACCACTGGACCAGTCTGTGATGGTAACGTAGGCCTAGGATGAAGCGGAGAAGGAGAACACAGACAGTCTTCTGGAGGCTTGGAGATGGTCTGGACCTCCGTTGAGGAGAACGAGAACGTCGCGATCTGC